AGAATGTAATATAATAGAATACATATGTACATTAAACAAAACACAGAGAGCACCTCCATCGCGTAAAAATGTTTAATAAAACAGGATTAAAATGGATGAAATGGTACTCACAAAAGTAGAGTTTAAACAGGCATGGAAAGAATCTTATGCTCAGAGGCGTTTCTGAGGTCACGCCTCCTTCTTCAGATTGGTTCGAAAGAATCTTATGAAGGTGGAAAGAAGGTGGAAAGAATCTTATGCAATGGACTTAGCCAGCCGGCTGTCAATCCTTTCTAAAGTCCATCGCATAAGATTCTTTCCATGCCTGTTTAAACTCTACTTTTGTGAGTACCATTTCATTCGGTTTAATCCTGTTTTATTAAAAGTTTTTACGCGATGGAGGCGCTCTCTGTGTTTTGTTTTCCAGTGCTGAGGTTTCCCTAAACCAAGCGAGAGCAGCCCCATAAGCACAATACATTGATCGCTGAAGATCTCCTTCTCTCCTCTCTTTTCATCCTGGACACATGCTGCTGGCGCTTCTGTTATAAACTGTCTGTTACATATGTACATTCCTTAGCCAAAATTGCATTGCAGCCACAGGTTCCACAACTGCTGGTATTGCAGGAAGCTAACCAAAATATTACCGCCTTGACACCCTCTATGGTAAAAATAATCTGTTTTGATTTCACATATACTGTACCTAGGCCAGTATAAACATTGCATAGTTTACATTCAGCCTGGACAAAGAGCTCTAGGGGTTGATTTACTAACCTTATAAACAGACCACGAACATGTATACACCTCTGTAGTGTGTTCCCTCCCAGCATGATCTATGGGTGGAATCTAAACACCTTTGTAGTGTGTACACACCCAGCAGGTGTGTTGTGCAAAGCCCTGCATGAATTTGCAAGGTGATGTTGTGTAAATTAGCTCTATGTTGTGTTGCTTGCATTGATGAATGCAGGAATGTAAATGCATGAGCTAACCATTTTTGTCTAAACTGTGAAGCAGCATTATATATGCATCATGTGCATGATTTTTCCATATATGGCATTAGTGGAAATATGCTTTTAGAGACTTTTTGGTTGATAAATACGTTTTGCTGTGTAAAAATCACACGCACCTAGTGCGTGCGTGTGTTTAGGTTAGTAAATCACCCCCCTAGAATCCTGGCTTATTAGCATCTAAAACACCTGTACAGATTCCAGAGAAGAGAAGAATACCTCTATCACCTCCTTCCAAGGAGATGGTCCATCCATCAAACAAACATTACAAGACTTAAAATGTCTTGGTCACAAGATAAAAGAGAAAAAAAAACACAAAACAATACAGTAAATATCTGTGTTTCTAGTTTCGGTTCCTCCATTATGGTGGGACATCTGCTACCTTGTCATTTGAGCATGTAGAGCAGATGCCTTCCTTGCTCTTACTCCTTGTCTGCAGACAAGATGGAATTAAGGCTAACATCTTTGAAAAGTATATTTACCTTTTAGAGAGGACCTCTAATTTCTCAATTAAAAACCTATGTCCATCTAAGCCCTCAAGTTGCTAAATGTTATTACACTTATTATTATTTTAAAAATCGTTAAAGCCCACTAGCTTATCCAACAACCAGGAGAAGGAAAGAGGAATATGGTGGAGAATAAGTAAGAAAAGGGGAGAGGAACATGGTGGAGAAAATAAAAGTGTATGTACAGCCCAAACTTGGTTTCTTTTCTGTCTGAGTCTCCGTTAGATTTATTCTTACTTCCTGTCCTGCTAACAACATTTTACCAGACAGGAAGTGAGTGGAACACTGCACCAGCAAAACAGGAAAAAATAGAAATGTTCCAGATAGTAATAATAACCTGACAGGGGTTCCAATCTCTCCCCACACTATCCAATATAAAAAAAAAAGTTTTGACATACACTTTCAATAACCAACCCTTCACAGTGACACTACAGTATACAAGAAATTGTATCCAATAATCCCTCTGTCTTTGGGACTGAGGATTCATTTTCACATTTCAAGAACTCATGCGTTTTACTGGGTCTTTAAAAACCAAGAAGTATGTGTTTGCTGAAAACAAGGGTGCAGCTGCAAGGGCCGTAGAAGCCATCAAATCGCTCAGCTCCAAAACATTGAACAGGAAACGAGATTACTCTGATGACCAAGTTCCCTCCACCAATAAAGTGTCTAGGACTCCACCCCAAACCTTTGGGCTGGCATCCATTGTTAGGAGCTTCCAAAACAGCAGGAGGAAGGATTTCCCCGACTCCACCATTAGGTTCCTGAGCCACCAGGACAGAAATGATCTGGTCAGTGTCAGATGATTCAGTTTGTCCAGAGACTGACAAGATTTGTCCTGCAATGACAGAATGTTATGTAGTAGGCGTATGGAGTGGAGCTGGGCAAAGGGAACTGCCTCAAAAGAGGCTACCATCAAGCCCATTACTCTCATGCAAAACTGCGCAGTTGTACAGCTTTTGGGCTGTAAACTTTGAGTTTGAGAGCAGAGGAACAGCAGGTTTTCTAGTCATAGCCTCCAAATTTTCTTTTGGAGGCTATGACAGACAGGGTTCCATGCAAAATATTTGGATTAAAATGAAGACATTTAAGGTCTTCATATTCAAGATAGGATGAATACCCCCTTTTGGTTTTGGAACAGTGAAAATGTTTGAGTAAAAACTCTTGGAAGCCTTGGAAACAATAGCAATGACTCCTTAGCTCATTGATGTTTTTTACAGTGTTGTACTGAAGACCAACACTTACCTTAAAGAGATTTTCATATATTCAAGGACAGGCGACTCATTCAGGAGATAAGATTGATAATATCAACTAAGCTGTCATTACGTTAATGTAGGGCTGAGGCAAAGGTTTTGAACATTTTACAACTTATGAGGTACACTGCAGGCCACCACAGAACTGTAAGTGGATTGTGAGCCTGAGATACCCAATGTAGCAGGACTACTCCCCTTGGGATATTACATGTTGTACTAAAGTCAGGGACCATAGCACCTCCAGGTGGCGCTGGAGCCAGGTCCTGCCCTTCCTGCGCTCGCCTGCAGGTGTTTCCAGCTAGCCAGGAACTGTCAGGTGCCAGACCACCACTGGGTGGTGCTGGAACCTGCAACTCCAGTGATCACCTGTGAGTGTCTCCCAGCTGCCACCGATTATCCACCACCTGGTGCTCCATGGGAGGGTACTTAATCCCTCCCTGCAGTCAGGACTGTGGCTCAGTATTGTTTCCTGTGAATCCTGAGTCCCAAGTCCTGTTGACATTTCCTGCGATTCCTGAGTCCTGTTACCTCCTTATGTTCCTGAGTCCTGTTACCTGCTTATGTTCCTGAGTCATATTGCCTGCTTATGTTCCTGAGTCCTGTTACCTGCTTATGTTCCTGAGTCCTGTTACCTGCTTATGTTCCTGAGTCCTGTTACCTGCTTATGTTCCTGAGTCCTATTGCCTGCTTATGTTCCTGAGTCCTGTTACCTGCTTATGTTCCTGAGTTCTGTTACCTGCTTATGTTCCTGAGTCCTGTTACCTGCTTATGTTCCTGAGTTCTGTTACCTGCTTATGTTCCTGAGTCCTGTTACCCGCTTATGTTCCGGAGTCCTGTTGCCCTGCTCCCCAGGTTTTCCTGCCCTGTTATACCCTGTGTGGGTATTCTGCTGTTTGGTTACTATTACTTATTTGTGGTTTGTGTTATGTGTTGCTCTGTATAAATAAACTGTATATAAGCTCAATTGGCCTTGTCTGGTGTGGTCACGCATTTGGTCCTCCCGTGGGGTTACCTGCATGCGGTGTGAGGACACCTGCACACGGTACCCTTGACAACTAATTACCAGGAACAAGATAATAGGAGACACCAGTTAAAAACCTGGGGGACTCACAACCAGCTGCTAAAAGCAGGAGAGGTTTAAAGTTTGGAGGTGACCAGATCACGAAAAAGATCTGGGAAGCTCCACAGGCAGAGCCCGGTGCCCGAAGGTCACATTCCAGGCAGGACCCACAGTCTTCAGTCAAGCGGAGTCCAGCTATGGTCTCCAATGCAGAACTGGGAAAACACAGATCTGGATAGCTGCATATGTAACAAAGCTCAGCCGCATGTACTGTAGAAGAGATCTCGAGTGGAGCAAAAAAATACCCTGAGAGAAAAATAAAGTAAAAAGGGTAAACTTTTCCTAATAGAGAAAAGTCATCCATCTTGCTAGGCAAAGACAAAAAACTAGTATAACACAATCGAACGATAAAGAAAATTGGTTTTATATTGAACTGGCTTAAGTAAACTGAATTCCAAGTCGCTGCTGTGGATTACTCTCCCCTGCCTTCAAACACTACTCTTTGCACTGCTTTACCTAATGTGCCAAATATTTAGTTTTTCATGTTTCTACTGAGAAAAAGGAAAGAAAAACCTTTATTTATTATTCACACCTATATTTTTGTTATTTCTATATTCTGTATCGTACTGTAAAGATCTGTGCAAAGAATATGTTGAAAAAGAAAAGGCCTGTGTGTGTGTGTGTGTGTGTGTGTTTCAGCTGGAAAGGAAAAAAGATACTATTGTGAAAATGAAATTATTGATTTTCAGACGGAAAGGTTTTCAATAGATCTACTATTGTGTGTGATACCATGTATTACTTGTAAGGGTTATCAGAGCCGAGATACATTCTCAAATATCAATCTATGTTCAAAGCCCTGACGGCTATAATAGTGACTGAGAGCAGAATCCTCACCTTGCCTTTTGAGATGGCTTTGCAGGTGATCTTGATTATTAGGTAAGACCAGAATACATGCAAAGACTGCAGGACTAGAAGCAGAAGATTAAAAACCCACCAGGAGGGATATGGACCCACAATTTCCCAGCTTTCAAACAACGTGGTGTTTAGTATCCTGCAAAACAAACATCAGATTTTATACAACAGTGTCATCTCTGCATCGCTACTATATAAACTGACATATACAATGCATCAATGGAATACTACAGAATCATCAGCGGAGGTATACAATGCACAGGGATAAAAGGACGAAAAAGTAATTGGTTTTATTGAAAATATAAATGAATGACTTTACTGCACTAGAGCTTCTCCCAAGTATATAGGAGAGCAAATGAAAGAGATAAAAATATATAATAAAAAGGATACTAAAAAAAGTAGCCACTCAATAAAAAAGAATGGCCACTTGTATTTAAAATTTACTACGATTAGTAATGCTCAACTCTCATTTTTTGGCAAGTTAGAAGCTTTGGAAAGGGCATTTATTGCCTTTGTTTTTTAGAGAAGTTTTACATGAAAACAGGGCTTTCCCTATAATGAGGCAGCCTGAGGCCATTGCCTCAGGCGGCATCTCTTTAGGTCACATGGGGGGCAGCGGGAAGAGAGTGGCATGGGTACCCTGCTGCACTATGTTTGCCCCCTTTCCAGCCAGAGCATTCCAGGTTGCTGGGCAGGGAGATGTGTGACATCACTGGTTGCCAGAAGTTCAGTGGGGCGCCGGCCAGAGAGTCCTAGGTTGCTAAGAGCTGGGCGGGGACATGCAAAACCCTTACACATCTCCATTAGGGTTGCCACCCATGTTTCAAGCGTAACCCGAACACTCTAGCGGCGCACGGACATTTTGTTGGGACAATAAGTCGCGGCCTAATCATATGTAAATGTCACAGTTGAGACTATTTTCAGTGGGGGGCCAGTAGCCCCTATCTTAATTTTAGTTGTTTGTCTGCCTGACATCTTGTGCCCGGGCTTTTGCTGCCACAAAACACGGCCAAAGCATTCAAAACCCGGATTGTCTGGGTGACTCCTGGACAGGTGGCAACCCCAATCTCCATACCCAGCTCTTGATGGTGTCACTCTCCACCAGCACCACCCATCCACCGTTATACATGTGCAGAGATGTGCACTGCATGGAATCTGACCAAAAACATTATCAGTGTGCATAAAATAACCTGCATAGGCAAAACGGAACAAAGCAGATAATAAATACAGTTTACAGAGTGATAAGTTGTTAGGCATTACCAACATTGTCAGTAAGACTGGTAGTATAAAGCCTGTGACACAGTGCATGCGTAGCAGTGCGGAGCGTTGGTGCCCGGACCTTCGCATGCACTGTGTCATGTCATTTTCACTCCGGCACATCAGCTTGTCAGAGCTCACATAGCTGGGCGTGCGGAGATGAAAAATTTCATCCTCAGCCAATCGGCTCGCACGTATAAACCCGTGAATCAGGATGCGAAGTCCATTCGGTTCTTACGTGCGAGTCAATTGGCTGAAGATGCAGTCTTTCATCTGGCCGCGCTCAGCTCACACACTGCATGCGAACGTTCGTGCCTCACAGCTTTGCTCCGCACTGCTTCGCATGCAGTGTTTTACAGGCTTGCATTGAAGGTAAGCCGTTACCTGCTTTGTCATTGGACTGCAACTGCAGGTGAGTCTTTGTATTTCAACTACACAGCCAAATCATTATTTTTCTATTTATTTCAGAAACTTCACATTTTATTCTTTTGAATTATATTGTATATATTGTATCCTGTAAAATGTACTCAGTGAGTAGACTGGTCAGTATTATGATGCACAATAGTGATGCCATGGTTATCAAATAGAACATACATTTGAAGAAACACACACATGAAAAATATCTATTTATTTAGATAATAATTATTTGCTATAAAATATTACAGTATGTAGAAAACATCAAAGACTACTGACAGGTGCATAGTAATAATAATTCAGATACCCACACGTTTATAAATCAGTATCATAATTATACACTTGTAAACATGAATTCATCAATGCAGAGATGCAATGACATGACTGGGCTACTTAGTGCTGGTAATAAGCAGAGCAGCTGTTCTCTAGGATACGATAGTCAGCTCAGCTGTTGGGCACCAATGTTTTTGCAACCAGCATCTTCTATGTTCCACTAATTTAATGGGGCAATCACATGTGTGATGTTTAGACTGCTTATCAATCAAATTGTACCACATCAACCCCATATGTGTCCAGCCATTGTGTCTAATGGCTCACAGAATTAGTTTCAAATCATGAGAATATTTAAAAGGCGCTGGGAGGAGTCTCTTGCTATTCTTTATGATTGACCCAACTTGATTTGTAGGGAGATCATTAGCTTATGGTTAGGCTGCTCAAAGAACCACAGACTCCAATGGGAGGTACTGGGAGCAACTCGGGGATAGAAAACAGAAGAGCACCAGACTGAAGCGGATGTTAGAGACCATACAAAAGTGTAATAATTGTGTTCATCAAACAGCCAGCATGTTTCCTGGGCAGACACAACCCCTTTCCCCAGGGCTTGGAAACCATAAGAATGAATGGAATGGACTCTGGGTGCCTTGCTCAGATGCTTATCTCTGTAATATAAACACCCTAATATAGAATATTAATGAAAATATGAGCTCTTTTCTGACAACACTAAGGGGCATATTTATAAAGCAGTTGATGTGACTTTCACCAAACATTCCCTGGTGGTGAATCAATCATTGTCATTTAAAACACATGCATTTGGAGGATTCACCTGCAGTGAATGTCAGATGAATGTCAGACTGGCTGCTTTATATATGTATACAGTATCTCACAGAAGTGAGTACACCCCTCACATTTTTGTAAATATTTTATTATATCATTTCATGTGACGACAAAGAAATTACACTTTGCTACAATGTAAAGTAGTGAGTGTACAGCTTGTATGTCAGTGTACATTTTCTGTCCCCTCAAAATAACTCAACACACAGCCATTAATGTCTAAACCGCTGGCAACAAACGTGAGTACACCCCTAAGTGAAAATGTCCAAATTGGGCCCAATTAGCCATTTTCCCTCCCCGATGTCATGTGACTCATTAGTGTTACAAGGTCTCAGGTGTGAATGGGGAGCAGGTGTGTTCAATTTGGTGTTATCGCTCATACTGGTCACTGGAAGTTCAACATGGCACCTCAAGAACTCTCTTAGGATCTCTTTTAGCAAATAATAAACAAACTGCCAAGTGCCATAATTAAATAGATTTTAAAAAATACTAACAAAAAGTATTTTAAAAGTCCATAAATATATTCAGTGATCAATGTTGTGTTAAGAATCTCTCAACCAAACTGTGCAAAGATTCTCAGTAGGTTTGTGCAATGGTACAATCACTTATAGCACTCAGTTAATATGCAATCCATCCCATCCCATTCACCTTCTTTTCTGCATTCACCAATGCTCGTAAAAAGTATTAAAAGATATTCATAGCAAAATACCATAAAACCAATTAATTTATTTAAAAGGAATAAAAAAACTATAAACATTTCTGAAGCGATCGCTCGTAACAACACACACCCTTCCAAACCTGCTGCCGGCAGGTTACATAAGATCCAATAGTCCCTTATACCGAACGTCCGTCCTATTACTCTCACCTTCCTTATATTATTAGGTGATACACAAACTGTTGGTGCTATATACCGTAAATCCTGTAGTATTATAATAATAATATATGCACATGGGGGCAGCGGTATGTGCGTATTAAATTCAGTATATAGGCCCTGCGTCCTGCTTTTCAGTGTTATATAACAGTTCTTTTTTTACCTCTCCTTCTCTCAATGAAAGTCTATAGGTCAGCTTACTCATTATAAAGAATGTAGCCCCTATCTGATTGCTATCTTATCTCAAGATTTGTCAAGAATGGAGGCAAAATGACTGCACACTGATTCATTGCTCCCTCAAGTGTGTGTGTGTGTGTGTCATGTGTTGTGATAAAAAATTCTCAGAGCAGCTTGTGGCGTGAAACAGATTTTTGTGAGTAAGCACCAGAGAGGAGGTGTATTGCAGCACAAGCTGATTTTTTATAATGTTTTGGAGCACATTAGATAATGGATTTGTAAACCAGGTTCCAAAGCGGACTTCTTTAAATTACCTATTATTTTATTATTATCGTGTGGACAACCTAGATTTAATGGTGCTTAGCGGAGCTCTTCTTTAAAAAGCAAAAGGACAATAGAAGGAGATAGGGCTGAAACAGAATTATTGCCAATGTAAGAAGCATGTCATTCCACGGTAATTACTTTCTGATATAGCGGCCTTGTCTGAGATCACTTCACATTTCTTGTTGTCAGAGGGGTTCCCTATAGCCGCACATGATTGAAGTCTTAGAATCTCGCAGTAACTGTATGACCACGTTTTGATCTTCGCTAAATTGCTTATTGGCTCTCTGCTGTATTCGATTCAAACTTCTGCAACTGTAATATAAAGGTACTTCGGCGGAAAAATGAACAAAGTGTAACAAAGTAGTTATGACACGCCTGATGACATTCATGCTGGTACAGAAATGTGAACTGAAAAGCAAACCTACATCTGGTGTCAGTTCCTCAGCAGTAATCAGTCATCTCAAAGTTAAAGGCTAGGTTTACCATGCATTACACCCATATTCCTTTCACCCATTAGAGTTTCTTAGAGGTATAAGATGTCAGTCACCCAATAGGAATCCACACATACCTGAAATATCAGTGTGGGGTGCACTGTTTCTATAGCTGAGCATCCTTATAATATGCTGCCACAGTGAGGAAAACAGGCACAAAATGTTTCATGATAATGTCAAAATAAAGATATTTAAGTCTAAGCTGTGATCCCAGAGGAAGCATTCTTTCTGAAGCCTTTCTGATTTCTTGGGAATATTTGTACCTTGGAATATAGTTTGTTGGGTCCTCTGAGTTTATAGCATCTTTTACAGCATCCTTGTGCCTGCAGCTGTGCTCATCGCTCCACCAAGTCATCAAATATATCAGAAGCTGCTCCAGTATGTAACAGATAAAAGCATCTTTGAATTTTTACCATACACATATTTGCTGTGTGTTCTCCATTATATTTAAAGTAGAATTAAACACTTGTTTTGTTTTTCTTTTTTGCATACATC